GAAACAATCCTTAAAACTTTGTCCTATTATTGTTCATGTCTTCATGTCTTGTTTAAGTGTTTTCCCTTCATTGGAAAATTAGTGTATCTGCTTTTATCTTTTACTGCACATTTTGAGTCATTTAACTATTTTCATTAGTTGACTTCTTCAAGAGGACTAAAATTTGGAACTGTTTTACTTATTGCTGGTAGGAATATAGTTTGAACTAGGAACGGAGTGATGCTATTTTTTACTTATTGAATTACTTTCTTTGATCGGCCTGACGTTTTTCCCAATGTGGTTCCCTTTTAATTAGTGTCTTTTATTATAATGTTTCAGCCTTCTTTGTTAACTTATAATAATGAGAAAAACTATGCCAGTTTAGGATAGTTACCTTTATTTTTCAGGTGGAATAGTCTATGATCTCCCAAATATTTTTCTTCTCAGCTTTTACCCATTAAGCGCGAAATTTGTAATGTTATTGTTTTGTAATTTGATAGCCAAGTTGAACCTCTTTCTGATTTTTTTCTTATTTTACTTTGTGGGTATTAGGTATAATGTGATGGCAATTTGTGGACAGTGGACACTCGTTGAACAAGGAACTACAGAAGGAAATCAAAGTGGAAAATCCCTTGTTGCATAAGTGCTGAGTTGAACTAAACCAGTTTCCCATGAGTCAGGCTGCATATATGACTGAAAATTCAGATTTTTCGCACATGGAATTGGATAGTTTACTATTACAGAGAGGCTTGGTCACTTTTATTAGTGGGACAGATAAGCATGTATATGCAGATTGATTTTAAATCCAGTAGATTGAGAAGAAAATTTTCATGCTACTTGAATTTTGTCTACTGTGCTGAGCATCAGACCATCCACTTCACTATTGGTTTTAGACAGGGTTTAAAGAGGGAAATTCCCATTGAAAGCCAACATGCTGAAGAATTGTTGGTCCTGTTATTCAATTTCGTGCAATCAATGATTCAATGTCCAGTTACCGAAACACTAGTGGAACAGTTTTTGGTTTGGCTTATATCAGGTATAAAATGTTTTATCCTTGTCTAAAAAGTGGTTAATATCTCTTTTCTCCTTATGGCTTTTCTTTTTTCCATCTTTTTTGTCTTTGTGCTTTTTTGTATTTTTTGAGTGGTTATATTACATTTCTTTTTCTCTTTCACATACTTCGTATAGCCTAGCAATATTTAGCAAGTGTCTTTTTCTTCAGGTAGATTGGGGAGAAGCAAGCATGATCCAGGCAGAGCGCATTTTACTTCAGCATGCATTGATGGATCCTCTCAATGAACGATTTGTTTTCCTTTCAGACAGGTGAGATCTAATTCACTAATATCTTCCTTTATCAAATTTGTAGCACAAGCTGACTCATTTGGTACTCTGGTTAGCTTAATTGACTCTTAATTTATCAGAAACTGTAGTGGTAAGCTACTTTTGCACATTTGTACCCCTTAACACTATTAGTTTCCTGAGCTAATTTTGGTAAATTCTCTGTCAAACTCTATTTGAATAAACTATTCAGATGATGATTTTTACTTAGGATCACTAGAATCATTGGCCACATCTGTTGTAAAAGAGCACTTGGCACATTGGTCTGAGAGAACGATGCGATTATGTTGTTTCCAACATTGATATCTCTGAAATAATATCCATTATATTAACAGTTTTGTTGTGACTGCCATCTAATTTGTTTCAGCTCTTTCTTGTTATTTCAGTTGCATACCTTTGTACAACTTCAGCTATACGTACAACTACATAATGTCTACGCCAAATAGCTTTGTTGACAGGTAAGAGACAGTGGTATTTCTGCTCTTTCTTGAGTAAATGATTTATTCCTGTAGTCAGAAATCAAGTAATAAGTAAGCTTTAGTTCTTTCCTGGAAGTGCACTAGTCATTCTCAAAGAACTATTACATCTGAACCCAGTTTGTTAGCCAAATATCTAGCTAGCATCTTACTTTCACAAATTAAAATGTGGAACAGTCTTCATGCTTCATTTATCTAATCGTCTTTTGTTTAAAAATGAAAACAGCTTTGCTGATACAAAAGAAGGCCGCTACAACCCCAAAATGGATCCACTTATTCCTGTTCAAAGCTGGAGGAAAGGTTCTTAGGTATTGGTCTGAAATATGAATTCTAGCTTCATGAAGTTCAATGTAAACTCCTTATAAGGAAATTCTCAAAGGAGAAATTGAGCAAAAAGGCAAGATGTATCTTTGATTATTACTAGTTGTATAGCTTACTACTTAACAATTTCACTTTGTTTTCACAGTGGGCTGTTTTAAACAGAAAGCATGCAGATATTGTTTTGAAGGATGAAAGATTATTTTCTATGTTTCAGTTGCATTGCAAGGCAAGTCAACTTTTTCTTTTACCTACCTATACTGTTATTTGAAAAATTAGGATATGGATTTTGATTTACGATGCTTATGGATGGTCCGGAGTTCATGAGCATTGCAAGACAAGTTATCTTAGCCTTCTTATTTTCAATTTAGGAAAAAATGGATGGTCCTTAGTTCTTTTAGATGGACGAAGACTAGGCAATAGAAAAATCATTGTTAAAGTTGAATCCATTAGTATTAGTTTCTCATGTGCCTCTAATTTGCTGTTGTACAAGTATTATGGCTACCCAACTAATGTATACAGAAGTTAACTACTCTGATGATATCTAAAATTCTGCATTTGTATGTTCCCATTGAGCATACCTTCATATTATCATGGTTCTCACTCCTCACCTTAATTACTTTATCACCGTGCAGAAAAAGTCGCTACCTGAGTTTTGGCGAGATCAGTATGTGGTGAGTCTCCGTGCTGTTTGAGTATTTTTTTCTCTTCTATTGTTAGTCGATCTTTTGACTTTTAACTTCTGCTAAAAGGTCTTGACATGCCTGATGAACTGTTTTCTAATAGCTTCAACAGTATACACTACTTCTATATACTGTTGAACTGTTTTCTAATAGCTTTCTGCAGCCTCCAGATACATCCAAAATTCATAATTGTATACCTGATGAACACTATGTCCAAACTCTGCTTGCTGTAAGTAGTTTTCTGTGATCTAAACCCGTCTTGGCAACCTAATTTTTTTGTTTAAATATCACTGATTTCACTTTCAAACAGTGATATTCTGTCAAAGAAAATTCCTTGCATGGATCATTGGTAGCATGTATCTCTACAACAGTTCAATTCAAGTTTGAGCTGATTGCCAGTATATTTAAGTTACTATCTCATGACCTGGTTCAGTACTAATAGTGGTAATTGTTTATAAGGAAGTAATTGGTAATATAGTAACCTCGCTATCCATGTCGCTCCATTTAAGCCCGTCTAAGTCCAAGATTATTTATAAAAATAAAATAAAATAAAATTAGTTTATCTACACTCGAGGTTTTCTACATTTTCTACTGGCATATACATCTCTAACAAGAACCCTTAGCATACATTGGACCTAAAAGTAAATGTACTGTTATGACTAAAACAAAAAAGCAGAAGAACCTTGGCAGTTCTATTTAGGTTTCATTTGTTGTGTCAAGTCGATTTCACTGTTTTTCAAAGTACTAATTTAGGTTTAGCTCATCTTGCGCTCTCAATCTCTTCAATCTATATCTAATTTCTCTTCTATAATTGCTTATTTTATTATTGCAATTTCGTGAAAAATTGTGAAGTTGGTGAATTGAAGTATTCAAGTCTTCAAGTCTTCAACGATTTTTAATTTTCAAGAAGTTGTTCGGCAATTCGGTAAACTTGTTCCAACTCTTAAGTTTTAAGAATATATTTTTGTGTGTCTAGTTTGCATAATTGTAATTAATATGGAATTTTCTTTGAAAAAAATATTTGGTGGTAAGGGAAAAGCTAAAATTGGTGAAAGTAGTCTCCAACCTACTACCCTTCCCCCGGCTCCCCGACCCAGACCTGTTACCCGTCCTGCTGCTCCTATTATTCTTGATAGTGATAACCCTTGTTTTCAATTTTCCGATAGTGAATTTGCCATAATGTTGCACCAGGTGAACAATTAAATGAAGAAGTTATGAATGCTCTTTATCCTAATCAAACTATCTTAGAAAATGATGAGGAAAATGAGGATGTAGATGAAACCCAACCGGATTTAGATGATTCACCTACTAGTCCTGTTAATAACCCAACTGATGCCCCGCCCGACCCACCTGTAGAAACCCCTACTTTTAATAGACAACCTTCTAAACGCCTAGAAACATCAATAGTTTGGAATTTTTTTACTCAAGTAAGAGAATAAAATAAGGCTAAGTGTAAAACTTGTGGGAAATTGCTGGCGCATAAATATACTGGAGACCGTAGCGGTACCGGTAGTTTGGCTAGACACATACAAACACACCCTAGAGATAAAGTTAAATATTTACAAATGAAAGCGCAGCAAGAGGGGACAAGTGTAGATACTGCGGTTAACCCTAGTACAGGTTCAAATCTAGTTCAACCAGGAATTAACACTGTGACCGGTGGTATTTTATATTACGATCCTAATAAAGATCGTGAAGAATTAGCAAAGATAGTTACCGTTATGTGCTTACCTTATACTTTTCCTTCTAACCCTAATTTTGTGCATTATATTAGAAAAGTATTTAGTCCTACTTATAAAGGTTGGCCTCGCGCAACAGTTAAGAGCGATATTTATAAATATAAATATGAATATGAACAATATTTGCGGTATTTATTTACTCATATAACTAATCGGATTTCTATTACTACTGATATTGGTAGAAGTAATAATGACTGTGATTATCTAACTGTTACAAGTCATTGGATAGACGAGGAGTGGATAATGCAAAAACGCATTATGCGTATGAAATATTAATTCACGTCACACAGGTAAGTTTATTGCTAACACCGTTGCAGATATTTGTAGATATTTTTGCATTAGAGATAAAATAATGGCAATTTCTATGGATAATGCTTCTAGTAACACTAGTGCTATAGGCATACTTACAACAACACTAAATCCTGCATTTAGTAATTGTTTCCATGTGAGATGTATTTGTCACATTTACCATTTAATCGTCGGTGATGGTATGAGAATTTTAAATTTAGAAATTGAAAAGGTTAGAATGGCTCTTAATTGGCTTTTTTATTCAAACCGTAGAAGTAGACTTAGAGAGTATTTTAAAAAATGTGATGAATTTGGCCTTAGAGAAAGAAAGGTTCCTAAACCTTGTCCAACTAGATGGAATTATATGTACGAAAGTTTAGTAGTTGCATATGAATATAGAAACCCAATTAATGCAACGTTTAATGCTCGTGTTGGTGGTGAGGATGATGATGAAATCCTTACAAATCAAGATTGGACGAATGTAAAAATTCTTATAGATTTTTTAGAACATTTTCAATTTGCTACAAATGCATTTTCTGGACAATATTATCCTACTATTTCAAATTGTTTAGTTTATATTGCAGCACTATGTGATTTGTTTGTTGAATTTTCGGAGGGTGGGAAAATTTATAAACTTGCTATAAATGCAATGAAAGAAAAGTTTAAAAAATATTTTTTCCCTATCCCCCCTATTTATGGTGTTGCTGCAATGTTAAATCCTACAATGAAATTAGGAGGTCCTCACTTTTGGTACACAAATATTTATAAGGCTTTAGATCTTTCAGTTGAGGAATTTTCTACACTTGCAGAGGCAAAAGCCTCAATTAAAATAAATGCGCAAACAATTTATAATGCTTACCAACTTGCGTTAGATCATGCTAGGCCAAATGTTCCAACCCCTACTTCGTCTAGTTCACAATCATCTAAAAGAGCTGCGGGCCTACAAGCACTTAAATCTTGGACGGAGTTTAGGGGTTCTCAAGGTGATAATTTTGATGAGACTTCACATCTAAATGAGCTTCAAGTTTATTTGTCGCAGGGACTTGAAAAGGAGAATCCAGACGGCACCTTTGATCTTTTGGAATGGTGGAAGACAAGGGAAAAACATTTTCCGGTTCTTGCAAGGATGGCTCGGGATATTTTATCTATTCAAGCTTCAACAGTTGCATCAGAGAGCGCTTTCAGTCAAGCAAGACTTCAAATAGGTGATCATAGAGCGTCTATGAGGGAGAGCTTGGAAAAATCAGTACTATTCAGAGATTGGATCCGCTCGGAAAGAAGAAACTTTGGACTTGCAGAATCACAACCGGAGATAGACGAAGCTTATGAAGAAATGATAGCGGAACTTGCGGAGGATGCTGCTTCGCCCGGAAGCGGTGATGAACAAGCTTCTTTTCCGCCACCACCAACGGAACCTCCTCCGAACCTTGAAGGATTTATGAGATTTGTTAGAGATACAATGTAGATTATGGTGTAACTTGTACTTTGGCATATCTTCTTTAGTTTTTTTTCCTTTTAATGGTGGTATTAGTACCTTGTTGTGCTCATTCCATTGGGGGGAAGAAGACTAAGAAAGATATGCCATTTTTGGTAATAAAAATTATAAAACATACCCTTGGCCTTGAATATCTCTTCGCAATATTTTTTTGTCTTTAACTTGTAATTATTTATAAGCTATAATATATATACATAACATACAATATATACTACAATAAATTATATAATGGAATATACATACATAACATACAATATATACTACAAGAAAATATATAAGGGAATATATATACATAACATACAATATATACTACAACAAATTATATAATGGAATATATATACATAACATACAATATATACTACAAGAAAATATATAAGGGAATATATATACATAACATACAATTTATACTACAACAAATTATATAATGGAATATATATACATAACATACAATATATACTACAACAAACTATATAGTGAAATATATATACATAACATACAATATATACTACAAGAAAATATATAAGGGAATATATATACATAACATACAATTTATACTACAACAAATTATATAATGGAATATATATACATAACATACAATAAATACTACAAGAAAATATATAAGGGAATATATATACATAACATACAATATATACTATACCAAATTATATAATGGAATATATATACATAACATACAATATATACTACAACAAATTACATAAGGGAATATATATACATAACATACAATATATAGTACACTATACTAGTATACTATATATATTATATTTACATGAAGAAGTAGTACTATATATACTACAAAACAAGATTTTTCAAAATGAGGGCCCCACCCCCAATGACCACCAACGGTCATATTAATTGCACAAATAGCCGTTTTTTTTTTAAATTTACAAAACTAACCTTCTCTAACACTATAAGTACCTTCCTCCCTCTTCTTCATTTCAATACTCAATACTCATTTCTCAATCTAAATTTCTCTCAATCTCTCAATCTCCAATTTTCAAGACTTCAAGTCTCAATCTCAATTTTCAAGTTAAATCATGCCTCGTTTGGAAAGAGTGCGCTTATTTGTGTCGCAATACTATGAAGTGCTTGAAGAAAATGAAGAAGGCCAAATATTAAAGTGCAAGAACTGTGGAAGAGTCTTAAATTTTCGTTCAGGGTGTACCACAGGCATTTTAAGGAGGCATATAAAGTATTGTGTTGAGGGTATTTATCCGCAAATTCGTCTTTAAGATTTTTCAACAATTTGTGTTATTTTAAAATTATTAGACGTATTTATGTTTCATGTTGTACTTTGTTATTAATTTATTATGCATGCCAATTTAGTTTTACTATTGATTTGTTATTTTACATTTTCGTCAAACACTTTAATAATTAGATTTCTATATTATATATACTACATATATTTATATAGCAATGCATAAGAGCAATTTATATATATACATACACATATGGTTTACAAGAAATTGCCTTAAATAAAAAAAATTAAAAAAAAAGCCCGGAAATAAAAAAAGCCTGTTAGGCCCGCTAAGCCCACGAGCCCGGCCCATTTAGCCCAGAACCATATGGGCTTAGGCCCGTCACGGGCTGGTCCTACCCGTTGAGCCCAGGTAAGTAGACTCTTTTCGCCCCCTTTCCGATGTCTGCCTGAGGACCTATGTTAATGTTTTGGAAAGGGGCGCTTGCGATAATTCGAAGGTTGCGCAAGACCCCTTCAACCTCGCCCGCGTGTTAGCTTGCTTGTACTATCGCTCGCCTGCCTGACCTGCTTTCTGGCTAGCTTCTTTATGGCAAGCGCCCGAGTTCCAAAAAGCTTACCTTAT